TCTACCACATAATCATAATTATTTATAATGAGTTAAAATATATTTTTTCGGTTATTAAGAATATGATTTAAATTCCGATAATATATATTTTTAGATTTGCATTATATGTATTAAAAAAAAAAAATAATATAAATTAATTTCTACTGATTTTAATAATATTTTAAAATTTAACGAATCACTAATTAAAACTTAAATATTTATTCGTATTAACGCGAGTTATTTATAATAGGATTCACGAGGTAAAAAACGCGTAGATCCTACATACCACGAAACAAACGGTGTCGTTTCGCTAGAAGGGAGAAAAAGAGCGTACGGTAAGCACATGGCGTATGTTAGCAAACTCTAATACTCATCCATGTTAACTTACTACTAATTACAAAAGTTAACCCCATATTTTATCGATTTTTCTATTTACAGTCGATTTTCGTGCTAACTCGTCCCACCGAGTCAACTCACTACCAACACTGATCGGTTTCCCAGTTCCGTCCGACGTAACTACCTAAACCGGAGTTAGTTGCGACGGTCAAAGGACGGCTCCGACGAAGCATCCTCCGATCGTAAACAGATCGTTTCTCAGGATCAGAAAGCGTACAATACGCCGCGTGGATCTTCATAAATTCCTCCGCCGAAGAAGAACTCGAATTCGAATCCGTCCGATCGATTCCGGCGACGTCGGGATGACAGATCCTGGCTAATCTCCGGTAAGCCGATTTGATATCCTGGCTCGTCGCGCCGTGAGGAACCTCGAGAATCTCGTAGAGAGAAGCGTTCGCCGTCGTCAATCGCCGCGGGATCTGATGCAATCTCGGGGAATCTTCCGCGCAGGTGTAAGAGCAAGAGGCGGTGGTTGCGGAGACGAGAGGGGCCGAGATCCGTGCGGCGCGAGTCGCCGGAGAGATCGGAGAGAGAGGCGGAGAGGAAGAGGAGAGAAATGGATGAGTGAAAGAAGTTGGAGAAGAAGAAAGCATCGTTGCTGTGTAAAACGGTGTCGTTTTCGAGTTTTTGATTTTCTCTCTGTTTTTTGTTTTAGTGTGTTCGAAGGAGGGAAAGATTGATGAAGAAGATGGAGTTAAGGGATTTATTTATAGGCGAAGAGACGATTAGGCATTAATTG